CATCCCTTCCCTTCCTCTTCCATCCCTTCCCTTCCTCTTCCATTCCTTCCTCTTCCATCCCTTCTCTTCCTCTTCCATCCCTTCCTCTTCCTTCCCTCCCTTCCTCTTCCATCCCTTCCCCTCTCTCTACAGCTTCACGTTTTCCTCTCCAAACACTATCCCTCCAAACACACTTTTGATTTCATTTTCCTTGTACTATTTGTAATCTTGTCGATTTCCTCTTCCATCCCTTCCCCTCTCTCTACAGCTTCACGTTTTCCTCTCCAAACACTATCCCTCCAAACACACTTTTGATTTCATTTTCCTTGTACTATTTGTAATCTTGTCGATCCTTTTTTTCTGTAATTTTTAGGCGGTATAGGTCACGCGAACTGCGGCCACAGTGAAGACGTCGGAGTAGGATGCATTGGTCCTGACACTTCAAAACGATGCATCCGAAAATGTCCGATAGGATTTTTCAAGAGCAAAAACGTCTGCAATAAATGTTCGCCAAACTGTCAGGCTTGTATCGGAACTGCCAACAATTGCATCGAGTGCACGCCACCACTCTTTCTYGAAGAAACAAAGTGTGTGGCGAAGTGCACACTGGGACGGTATGGGAACATCAAGTTGAGGAAGTGTTTGAATTGCAATGCTAACTGTCAAACGTGTRTCGATGGAACAAGGGATGATTTCTGCAAGACTTGTGAAGAGGGTTTCGTACTAAGTAAGCAAAAAAACCGTTTTAATACTCCATTTGTAGAGTTTGTATTGTATTGTATTTGTAGTGTAGAGTTACTTTGGGTTTCATTTTTTGATATAAAAGTCATGAATTTGTATTTCTATTAATTCTTCTATTTATTTAGCTGTTTTTTTATATTTTCATTTCTTTTTTCTATTTTTCTTTCAGGAGATAGCATTTGCATCAAAGACTGCGGGCCTAAAATGTGGTCAGCTGACTTTTTACTTCCACCGCGACCAGCTACGCCCTTAGTCCGTCTTGTCGGCGGTAAAACGAAGCAAGAAGGTCGTGTAGAAGTTTTACACGAGGGAGTCTGGGGTACAGTTTGTGATGACCAATGGGATTTAAAGGATGCCAGTGTTGTCTGTCGGGAACTAGGCTTTGGAAAAGCGCTCAAGGCTCCTTTGCACGCGGAATTCGGAAAAGGTAAACAACTGGTTAATGAGGGAAGATTTAAACCTGTAAAATCACCAAAATAATGATCGAATCGTGAAAATCTCGCGTGATCAAAGAATGWGCTAAACKTCAGTGAAAACAATTCARTCGTGGATAATAGTTTCTAAAAAACTAACAAACAAACYAAGTAAAAGAARCAAACTCGTGACTGCGTTATTTATGTTTGTTTACCACTGATCTCCAACATTCTGAAATTGAGACAATTTACAACTGTCGTAAAAACAAATTAACACAGCAAACAGGATATTATAGTCAATAAGGAAAACAGAAAATAGAAATAATTAAGTTGTCTTCCCCCATTGCTTGTTTTCAAGCATTGCCATGAGATTCAAAAGGTAAAAGACCGGCGGCCATGTTGGAGGAATGAACAATAGATACTATTGAGAAATCCTTTGTTTTGTTGTGACGTAACCTGCAAACGAAGAATACAGTCAACTCTCTCGTAAGCGACCACCTCGGGATCAGGAAAAAGTGGTCGCTTACGAGAGATGGTCGCTTACAAGAAAGTTTTTTTACAGAGTTTTTATGGGAGTTAACAAAATGGGAAATTTAAAAGGTGGTCGTTTACGCCGGGGAGATGGTCGCTTACGAGAGTGGTCGTTCAAAGAGAGTTAAATGTAGTTTTTGTATGCATTCTTTTCGCGAAATCTGCTTTGTATCCCTGATATATATGTGCTGCCCTTAAAATAAGTGATATTTTATCATTGATAAACGCATTAAACTATCGATTTCCGTCTTACCCATAATACATCAATATAACTCCATTTCCATCAGGTAAAGGGGTGGTCTGGATGGATAACGTGGATTGCTATGGCTACGAAACGTCACTCACCCAGTGYCGTCARCATGGATGGGGGATCAACAACTGTGACTCAGATCACAACGAAGACGCTGGTGTGGTGTGCGACAACTCAACAATTGAAGACGTAGCAAATAACTATTGTAGAGAGGTGAGCAAAAGCTTCTGACCTTGCCAAAAAGTTCATAGTCTCCTCGCAGCCGTGTTTAGTTTCGGTCACGCGTCACGCAATCTGTGAGAGGTTGCGTGACGCGTGACCGAAACTAAACACGGCTGCAAGGAGACTACACAGTTCACAATTCGTATAGAGATCAGAGGTATTATAGTTAGAGAAAAAGGGATGGTCTACTCCCYGGTATGGTCCAGCGAACGAACGCTTTTTTAGTAGACAACAGACTCACTGGCAGACAAAGACCTTACCAAAACAAATAACACGAAAAGATATTACAATAGCTCTAGAGATTTGAATCTTCTCCGATTTGAGAGTAAGCCTATATTCCCACAAGACCTAGAGTTTGAGCCTTCAGGAGATACAGGCTTAGCCTCAAAGGATATTTGTAGCGCTATTGTAATGATTTTTTCGTGCTTTCCTTATTTCTTGAAATGGAGAGACTGTTGTCAACTAAAACAGCGGTCGGTCGCTGCGAACTCGAAAAAAGGCTTATTGTGTATATATGGTAATCATTAACCGTTATCTGTCCATTCTAAGTTATTGCCTCTCAACTGTAAAACTGACAAGCCATGYTTTCCTGGAGTCACGTGCGTTGATCGCGGTCCTCTGAGTGACGTCACGCAATCGTTTTGTAAAAGATGYCCAGACAAGTTCACGGGAGATGGCCGGATTTGTAGAGGTAAGAGTAAAGTCGTATTTAGCAAGTGCTTTCTATGGAAATTATATTGTCCGAGTGTATTTGTAAGCTAAGGCCCGTTTCAGAGTCGATCTTTTGCCGCGTCTAGTCTAATTGCTTACATGCAGTTCTCGAGAAGTTTGCAGTCTACATCGATTGATATTTACAGATTTAGAGAGCTTGTCCAACTGAACAAAATCTACTAATGTCAATAAATTCAGTGTACAAAATGCTCATAAACTCAACTCAACTGATTGGATTAGAATCGATAAAAGATCAATCTCTAAAACGGGCTACCATACATGCACACACTCTATATTAAGACGTCTTTATTCCATAGTGGTATCGTCTACCAAGCCAGAGTTCAATCCGCCCATGCTACCTAATATCACCGTCATAGCAGGCAAAGCCATCGGCCTTAGATGCGTCGCTAAAAAAGGACCGTCTGCTCCCAGTTTTGAAGCGATGATACAGGACTGGGCAAAAGATGGTAAACCCCTCGAYCCGATGGACATCAGGTCGAAACGAATACTYGTATCATCCGGYCAACTCATGATTCATAACTCGGTACGTGGCGACTCGGGAAACTACTCGTGTACGTTGAATAACACTGCAGGAACAACTACAGGGTATACTTMCGTCACGATAAAAGGTTAGATCTCCGTTAACATCATTAGTAATAATGATGATAATAGATTAATACTGTCTTAATGTCTCGAAGTTTATTTTCCATGGTAATAGATCATCTGATCATGTGTTCATCAAATGTCAGTAATTCAGCCTTTGGCTTTGGCCAGAAACACATCACGTAGTCTCCTRTTATGATATTTCTCTGCTAACTATCTTTCAACTTTTCAATCTATTTTCTCAAAGTCCCCTGACCTCTAAACACAATCCTTAATTTTATTTCTTTTTCGTAGAAATTCCTGAGATTAAATCAAGTTTGCCTGTCCTAGCCAACGTTGGTGCAACTGCCAATCTAATCTGCGTAGTTTCCAGTTTTCCAGCGGCAAATATAACGTGGAAAAGGAATAATGCCGAGCTTAAAGGGGATCGCTATACATTTTTTAACTATACCGTGGCCATCTCTGGGATTACTTTTGATGACGCGGGAGATTATGAGTGTCATGTTGCAAATGAGCTGGGAAAAGCTATGAGTACTGTGACTCTTACAGTTGGATGTAAGTTCAAATTTCTTTTTCTTCTTGTTCTTGTTCTTCTCGTTCTAGTTGTTGTTCTTCTCGTTCTTGTTCTTCTTGTCGTTTTTTTTCTTCGTGTTCTTGTTCTTCTCGTTCTTGTTCTTCTCGTTCTTGTTCTTCTCGTTCTTGTTGTTCTTCTTCTCGTTCTTGTTCTTCTCGTTCTTGTTGTTCTTTTTGTCGTTCTTGTTCTTGTCGTTCTTGTTCTTGTCGTTATTGTCTTCTTGTTCTTGTTGTTCTTCTCGTTCTTGTTCTTCTTGTTTTTCTTGTTTTTCTTGTTCTTGTTCATCTTGTTTTTCTCCTTGTTCTTCTTCATCTTCAGGATGATGATGATGATACTGATTTCGAAGATGATTCATTTTTTATTCCTCTTCTCTCCCTACTCTACTACTATTATTCTTGTTCTCATTCTGTTTCAGTGGCATCTGAATTTACTATTGAGCCGTCCGATCAGAACACCCATGAAGGCGAATCCAAAACATTAGAGTGCAAAGCATCTGGAGAACCAAAGCCWACAATCACGTGGAAGAAAGRTGGAATGCCCGTAGTCCCGGATGAAAACCACGTGATCTCAGATAAAGGTCTTATGATAAGAAGAGTCAAAGCTTCAGATATTGGCTTTTATGCATGTATCGCGAAAAACCCTCAAAATATCATCACTTCGTTTGCAGCTATAATACGTATTGGTAAGTTGGGGGAGAACCTTTGCGAGCTTTTTCTCAAATATGAAAAATCTTTGATTTTGAACCAATCAGAACCCTAGCATTCGTCTGACTTTTGGTCCCCACAACTTTCGTCGAAAATTTTTTCTTTTCTTTCATTGATTTAGTTAAAATATTCACTGCTTGTTTAATGTAGGTTCTCCTATCATCGACATACCTCCTGAAAACATATCCGTTCTCTCTGGAGCAAATGTCACTTTCTACTGCCAGGCCCTCGGCTCGCCAGACCCTATCATCGAATGGTGGAAGAACGGACGTGTTGTCGCCAAACAGAAAGGCAATTCGCGTGTTAGGGACAGTTACACCATGATAAATGTACAGCCAAGTGATGCTGGAAAAATAACATGTAAAGCTTCGAACAATAAAGGGAAGGTTATTAAAGATGCCTTCTTATCTGTGGACGGACAGACAGGTATATCTGACTTCATCCGACACTGGTGAAAAACGCACTGCGCATGCCCCCAGCTTTCCCGCCAGTGGGCGCTCGCTTCTTGAAATCTGTAAACAGAGCGCCTGGCGATTTACAGCGACAACACAGAAAACACTACGAAAAACCTCATTTTCTCAAAATAGAAATGACAAGATAAAAATAGAAACTACATACTAAACGAACTATGATTGATGGAAATATGAATCTTATATATCG